ACCAATTATCATTATTGTAAAAACTCCAGAAACGGATAACTTTGGCATCAACAATGAGTTTCTGGGATGAAAATTGGTCCTTGATAATAAGGGGGGTAAATTCCAACATACCATAAATATAAAGGGATAATTGGTACCATACAGCCCAACAAAACAGCTACTATAGTTTTCAACCATCTACCATTTCAGACACAGCATTACTTGGTTAGCATCACGGAAGTACTTTCACTTCAACTAATCATTTAAATGGGAACATAAACACAATCAATAAATGAAAAAAAAAAAAACCTACAATCCCAAATTCAAACCCACACTCACAAAAGTGAAATCCAAAATCGATATCTGAAAAGGAAGAGGCGAGGGAGGAAGAAGATGCGGAAGAAGGGAGAAAGGAACAGTGAAGCAACGCGGGGCGTGCTGCGGTAATGTTAGCCGCATTCACAGACAGAGAGCTTCTTGTTCTAGACCCAGAGGGAAGAGTGCAAGAAGCTGAAGGAACTTGGGTTCTTATGGATTTCCTCGTAAGCCATGGCGATGAAGTTATCAACGACATCGAAGCCATTTTGGGTACTGTGTCTTCCTCCTCTCCTCTCCTCTACTCTCCTCTCTCGATGGTCTTATCCTCATGGTTTAATACCCAATTTGGTACTTAAACTTTCATTTGAGAATTTAGTTCGTCCTTTAACTTCAGAAAGCATTTAAGTTGGCCTTTAACTTTATTTTTTTGTAACCCAAATGGTCTTTTCGTTGATATACTACATACTTCGCACGTTAAATATACAACAATTACCACCTTTAATTTTTACATGCCTATGGGGGAAAAAACACCTCAGCCAATTGATTACATGACATCATTTTCATTCCACGTTTGATAAAATAAAAACAGTGGGACATACATTTCATTTTTTTTCAAAATCCCTTAAATCCTTCTTTGAAATCCCTAAATCCTCTGGAACCATTTTGACTGATTGCTCAGTATCCAAAAATGAAATGATTCCAAAAACGAGAAAGTAATTGGTGATGGTTGTAGGTCCTTCTTCTTCGACCCCTAAATCTTCTGCAAGTCTTGATTCTTTGTTCTCCAGACCAAAGAAGTCAATTTCGTACCATATCAATCGATACAGTCGGTACGTACCGATTTTTTAAATAGACTGAAATGATATAATATTAATTTTTGTTTTGATCAAAATTCGATCATTTCAATCAAAATCCGATGTACTGGCCAAAATTTTAGTGTACCGGTCGGTTCACAGAAATTTCGATCGGTACACACTGGCAAAT